GTTTCTGTTTTGTTATTAGTTTTCTACATGGAAAAGGCATTTCCCTCTCTGGGCTTAGTTTCCTCTTCATTAAAATGAGATAACTGGATAAAATGACTGCTAAATGTCTTTCTACCCCAGGTGTTAGGACTAAGGGACTAGTTTGTGGGCTGTGACCTGAAAGCAAAATTAATACTTTGTAAAAAGATTGGAAATCACAGCTCAATTTGTATGTGAGAGAGTAGAATAGGTGCGTCTAGATTACCAGCCCTAATTTCATAGTCTATATCAGGCATCAGCAAGGTTTTTTCTTTAAAGGGTCATGTTGTAAATATTTCATGTTTTGTAGACCATAAAGCTTCTGTCCCAAATACTCAATTCTGCCATTGCAGTGTGAAAAAGACCCACAGGCAAAATGTAAATGGACAAGGGAACTTGTGTTCCAATAACACTTCATTTACAAAAACAGGCATCAGGTTGAATTTGGACCGTGGGCATCAGTTTTCAACCCAAAGTTTATATTACTGTTTTACAGAAATAATCTGACCTATGTCTACCTTCTTGATTTAAAAGTTTCAAAACTCTATGGCAGAAAAAAACATGAGTGATATTATGTAATTTGGAGCAAATCTATCAGTGTGTTGACTATTCAGTATTACAATTTATAATTAATAGCAAAAAACCTATAATTTTTCCATGGCATAAGAAAAAAATATATTTTTTATTTGATAGGAAAGTTTATTTCCCTGCTTTTTAAAATTCAGAAGCATTTTAACTATTACAATAGTAATTAATTGCTTATCGTTGAACTTGCAGTATAGAATTCCATCAAAACAGTTTCTGTGGCAGAAGATTGCGAAAATACATCTTTGGCATATAAGTCGGGATTGTTCAAACCACCCATGGGATAGAGATCAAGCTCTAGAAAGAGCCTCAAAGATCTCTGACAAAAGGATTACTTATCATCAGTGGGATCCATACTCTCCCCAAATTTAGTTTCTAGTGCGATTGTGCTCTGTGAGCTGATGCTTTGTAATGGCATTCTCATTGTATTAATGGAGCCACCTGTGACATTTTCATTATTAAAAATGATTTTCTTGACAGTTACCCTGTAATTCAAAGGGAAAGTGAACATTGCCATTGTTCTGCAACATGTTAGAAGCTAAGAGGGTCCTATTTGGCATTTTCACATAATTGATGAGATGTGAAATTGCTTTATTTTGTACTAACCCTGGAGGCTATCCATTTGTTCTTATTCATTCTTTTAATCAGCACGCGAGAAGAAAACTGACATTCTTATCGAGTCTCATAGACTGTTGTGCAGTAACTTCTTCTGAAAGAATTTATCCCTTTGTTTGATGCCGGCCGCAGACACAGCCACACTGGTTCCCAAGGCATGATCCTTCTACCCTTGGGAAGAGTGATAGTGTGCCATTGGAAGCTGAGCTGATCAAATGGTTTTATGTTGTAGCTATCATTACTTTGCTTAGTTTTTGTTGGCTAAAGTAAGTCTTCAGGGAGTCATTTGGGGCCATGGTGACGCAAGCAAATATATTAGTGAGTTAAAATAATATGAGCAGTATGAGTTAAAAATATGAGTTAAAAATATATCAGCTGTAAACCAAAGACCTATTGTTGGAAAATTCCTAGGATCAGTACACTTCCTTGTCCTGACTAGCTGGATTCTCTGATTCAATTCACTTGCTAAAATATAGACTCTCTTGCTTTCTCTCTATGTACCCGTTTGCATATGCATGCAAATGTATGTGTGTGTATAATCTTTCATCTCTTGATATTTTTGGAACACCATGATTTCTTGTTATTTGTACAGTAAAAGATCCAATGCACACAATGTATTTTTCAACCTGTTGTTATATATGTAGCTGGCATGTCTCCTTTCAATTCTCCTTAAAGAATATAAAGCTTTTAAGGTTTCCACTTTAGCTGACACTAAATATCTCAGCAAGCTCTGTCTGATTATTCAGCGTTGTTATGGATAAAGTAGATAAAGACCCTGAGGGCAAGTCCATCAAGTTTTCAGATGTCACTAAGCTGTGAAGGAGGGTGAGCTATAGTAGATGACAGAAATAGCATTTGCAAAACATTATGACAGGAAGGAGAGATGAAATGGATCTAACAATATGAAATGCAACAGAGATAAACATCAAGTTGTATAGTTGCTGCCCCTAAACAGCCAACTGCACAAGATGAGATAGGGCTTAATGAGGTTTTAGTCTTCATTAAGCTCAATATTGGCCAACATTATGGTTCATTCAAAGAAAGTAAATACAGTCATGCATCACTTAATGACAGGGATACATTCTAAGAAACGAGTCATTAGGCTTTTTCCTCACTGTGTCAACATCATAGAGTATATTTAAACAAACCTAGATGGAATAGCTTACTACGCACCTAGGCTATTTGGTATAGTCTATTGCTTCTAGGCTATAAACCTAGACAGCATGATACTATACTTAATATTGTAGGCAACTGTAACACTGTGGTAAGTATTTGTATGTCTAAACATAGAAAAGGTACAGTAAAAATACATATAAAAGATGAAAAATGGTATACCTGTATTGAACATGTACCATGATTGGAGTTTATGGGACTAGAAGTTGCAGTAGGTGAGTCAGTGAGTGAATGTTGGGTGCATGTGAAGGCCTAGGATATTACTGTGCACTTCTGTAGACTTTATGAACCTTGTATACTTAGGCTACACCAAATTTTTTTCTTCAATAAATTAACCTTAGCTTATTGTAACTTTTTTACTTTATAAACTTTTTAATTTTTGTAACTTTTGACACTTGTCTAATAACACTTAGTTTAAAACACAAACACATTGTACAGCTGTACAAAATATTTTCTTTATATTATTCTATAATCTTTTTCTATTTTTAATTTTTTAAAACGTATTAAACATTTTTTTCAAACTAGGACACAAAAACACATCTTAACCTAGGTCTCCACAGGGTCAGGATTATCAATATCACTGTCTTTCACCTCCATATTTTCCTCCATGTGTTATCCCACTGGAAGGTCTCCAGGGGCAGTAATACCCACAGAGCTGTCATCTCTTATGATAACAATGCCTTCTTCTGGAATACCTCCTGAGTTCTTGCCTGAGGCTGTTTTAGTTATCTCTTTTTTTATAAGTAGAAAGAATACATTCTAAAATAATGATTGAAAAAGATGGTATACTAAATACATAAACCAGTAACCTAGCCATTTATCATTATCAAGCAGTATGTACTGTAAATGACTGTAGGTGATATATTTTTATACAACTGGCAGCTCAGTAGGCTTGTTTACAAAGGCATCATTACAAACACGTGCATGAGTAATGCACTGCATTATACAATGGCTGTGATGTCACTAGGTGACAGGAATTTTTCAGCTTCATTAAAATTCTATAGAATCACCTTTGTATGTGTAGTATGTCAGCGACCAAAATTTCATTGTGTAGCACATGACTTTATTGAAAAAAGCCTGCATTAAAGTACAACGCTTAAAAAAAGGTGAGCACGAAACTCAATTCACTCTTTCTTCAAAGACCGTTACTGAATAATTCGATTTAGTTGTCTCTCAGCTACCTCATTTGAGAAATAGAGATATACATTCATATTCCACAAAATGTCAGGATTAAATGTGATCATGCATGTAAATGCCTCTGCACAATATATAACACAAGATAAGTATTAAGTGTATGGTAGAATATGATGATGATGATGATGATATATACTTAAAACTGTTGAAAGAGAAGGCAACTATGACAGTGAAAGGATTATAAATGATGGGGACTGGTCAAGAAATTAGAGGTGTTTACCCAGAAGTGAAACATCTCAGTGAATACATAAGAGCTGTCTTCTAAAAACTGAAGAATTGAAATATGACAAAGTGTTTGGAGTTCTATTATTACCGAAAATATGGATTCAGATCAATGGATAGAAGTAATGAGAAGTCTGATTTTTTACATTATAACATGTACAGAGATGCACACCAAAGTCTCTCCATAGTGGTGAATTCAAGACTGGAGAGCCTCAAGCACAGACTTGAACACTTTTGAATATGGCTGCTGTAAAGAGGATTCAGCTGTAGGTCAGGAGGCTTAGTTATATGTTCTTTAAGGTACCTTCCAGCCCTGAGACTCTTTGATTTTTTAAAATACTCAACAAATTCGTTTTAACCATGAATGGTGATGACAGGTCTTACCTTAAATTTTCAGCAATGAAGAACATTGTTTAAGAAATTACTGTAAGCAACAGATGTATAAAAAAAGACACATTGCAAAATGTTTAATCTTACTGCTAAAGTGCTACTGACTTTCAATTTTTTATAACTATGAGTCCTCAGAGCCAATACTTCAAAAATTGTACTGTACTTACAATATGGAGAACTGCCATAAGGTGGAAAGAGGCACCTGATTATACCCCCCTGTAGTACACAACTTTAAGGCGGTCTTGCCGAAGAAGATTTTGAGACCATAACAGTTGGTGGTGCTGCTTGGAGAATCACTACCTACCTATGCCGTCTTGGATAACTGGTTTAGCCTCTCTGGGTTTAAGTTAATTCTTCTGTATAAAGGGCATAATCAGACTTCCTTTCACAGTTGGGACAGGGATATAGTTAGATGAATGTATTTGAACATGTTAAGTGGTATCATGGAAATACAGGAGCATGATTTTCCACTCAAATGACTTATTGATCATATATGCATTTTTAGCTGATTATATTTCTTACTTAGAAATATGATTTCTAAGAACCCTTTTGAAAAAGATTTTCAAAAAACATGTTGACTTTTTGTTAAACTTAGAAATGTTCCTATTTTTATTTTTTCTGCTCTGCAAGCAAAATCAGGGAAAGAAAGGGTGTGTTTGTGTGAACACACATGCGTGCTTCAATTTTGAACAGAATGAGAGGTGGCCAGGGGATGACTAAGAATCCAAGAAGTTCAGTTCTCATAGTGTAGCTGCCCATCATGTCCTAAATGATGAAATCTCCTTAACTTCATTTCTAAACAGGATGGCAAGATATTCTGCCGACGGACGGCCTGTGATTGCCAGAATCCAAGTGCTGACCTTTTCTGTTGCCCAGAATGTGACACCAGGGTCACAAGTCAATGTTTAGACCAAAATGGTCACAAGCTGTATCGAAGTGGAGACAATTGGACCCATAGCTGTCAGCAATGTCGGTGTCTGGTATGTTTGCTTCCTACAGGGCATTGAGCCTTTACTCTGAAAGAGGTTACAAATTCAGTTGTCTGTGGGACCTAGTTCCCCTTTTTACATAATACTATACAGGGAGCTCTGGGGGGCCAGTGGCTAAGGGTCATGTTCTCTGACTAAAGATATTCAGGTTGTATTTGAAACACTGTACAAAGTAAAAAGCACATATTTATGGGACAGATTTGACCCAAACAATGACAGTTTACAGCTATTACTAATAAGAAATCAAGATCAAGAAAAATCTCTGCAAGAAAGGAAGCTTTCAAAACCTTGACTAGTTACTTGTAGTCCTGACAGAGCTAAATCTTTCATTTCTGTGCCATAACCCTTAAAGATTTCAATATAAGAGGTAACAAAATATAGTAGATATATCGGAGATTTAATTATAGAGACCTAGAATCTAAACCTGGTCCTCCCACATGCTAGCTTAACATGATTACCTTGAGTAAGTCCTAGCATTTTACTATTCTTTCCTCAAGTGGATACAGGTGTGTGAGTACATCTGAGGGAAAGAATGAGCTGTTATGAAGATTACAAGATATGTAAGAAGGACAAATACAGTACTTGGCTCAGAGAAGGTACTTAGTGTATGGTAGTGACTATTGTTAATACTTCCTACCTTGAAAAATCTTTTCAGATACTACATGTTTAAAAAGAAAAAAATGAAGGTTGTTATAAATATTAATATAGGGCTACTAATGGAATAATTAGATTTGAGAAAGTCCACAGAAAAGGCTTAATTTCTTGACCTGGTTCTTTCAGTTTCAAATTATATCACAACGATTTCTAGCAATGGGAAGACTTTTAGGACACATTGGCATGGAATGTGATGTCCCATATGTGAAGTCACAACTATGGAACGTTCTGAGTTGATTCATAATGGATATTATTAGCTGGGTGTCCACAGTTTAACATTTGCTGACATGAATGATTCTCATTTTGTGGGTACTATATGAAAACAAGCATTCAGATAAATTATGCTCTACATTTCCATCAGATTTTTTTAAAATCTTCAGGTGAATGTACAGATAATCTTAACAGAATATGTCTTTCTTAATCACTCCTACAACTGAGAAGTAAGACTCAGATAAATAAAAATTGTAGTCATTTTTTAAAACTCCCACCAAAGGACAAACAAATCAATACAACTGTAGAATTAGTTTCCCTATGAGACTAGCAAATTGTATTTCTTTTCCAAGAAACGAATCATCAGGCATCCAGAAGAATTGGTATTAATTTTATGCATGAAATTTTCATAAATAGAATTTCAGAAGTATATCCTCTTCCATCCCAGCCCCTAAGATGAATATTTCTCAGGAAAACTGAAGCTGTTAAACATATAACTTATGAATTACTTGAGAATAATGTGGGTCATGCATAATAAATATTTGTCAAGACTTTTCATGTGCCAGACTTTGTGTGATGTAACAGTGAGCAAGATACACATGGCCTATACCTACACAAAGCCCATAGTCTTATGGAGATGACTGAACAATTAAACAAGTTACCATACATTGTGAAGTATTATGCCATAGATTGTAATTCATGATAGCAGAGGAAGAAGATGCATAGTGAAATAATTTTATTGTGGGCAGCTCAGTGAAGCCACAGATGCCAGATGCTGAGACACACAGAGGCTCCATTTGAACTGCAATCTAGAAAGTTCAGTGGACACATGTTATATTCAAAACCATTCTGAAATGGTTCTCTTGACATTACCCAATCTTAACTTTAAATCTCATTGAAATATTATAGTGCTTCAGGTTCTGCTTTTGACCTTAAGAGAAACTCATTGCTCTTTATATACTAGACAGTATAATTTATTTATTAGCCTTTAATGACCAAAACTGTGCTAAACATGATAGCAAGTAAAAAGCCCAAAGCCTGAAAGCTCAAAACTTAATGTGGAATTGTACTGATTATGATATGATTATAAGTATCATGTTAAAATAATTATAGGCTGTGCTTGGCACACAAAGCAGCTCACCTAGATCTTTCTGTGTACTGCAGTATAGATGGTCGGCAAAAGCATTCTGAAAGAAGTGAGACCTGTAGTAGGTCTTCAAGGAGGAAGTGTATTATATCCTCAATGGTGTCAACTAGAAACATTCAGTGATGAGAATTACTGTGCTCTCATTCCCCTTATATGACTTGGGAATAAAATTATGCATAGGAACAATAATGAGACTTTTTTTGCTTTTCCTCTACAGGAAGGAGAGGTAGATTGCTGGCCACTCACTTGCCCCAACTTGAGCTGTGAGTACACAGCTATCTTAGAAGGGGAGTGTTGTCCCCGCTGTGTCAGTGACCCCTGCCTAGCTGATAACATCGCCTATGACATCAGAAAAACTTGCCTGGACAGCTATGGTGTTTCAAGGCTTAGTGGCTCAGTGTGGACGATGGCTGGATCTCCCTGCACAACCTGTAAATGCAAGGTGATGTTCTGCGGATATTGAAGCCTTGAACAATTGCCAGAAAACACTTGCAGGAGGTCCACTCCTGATGTTTCTGAATGCACAGGTTCACTAGACATGGTGGAAACTCTGGCATAAATTTACCTCTGATAGGAATTTAATATGTGTGAATATATCATAGCTGCACCTGTAAAAAGGCAAATTCCAAATGGGCATGAAATATAAGAATTGCTCCTGCCTTTGAACTACAGAATTTTGACAATTGATTCTAGGCTGAATTATGGCCAATTTAGGCTCTTTTGACCTGCATATTAAATAAAAAGGGAAAAAAGAAGAAGGAAGGGAAGAAGAAAGAAGGAAGGGAGGGAGGGAAAGAGGAAAGGAGGGAGGTAAAGAGGGAAGGAGGGAGGGAAAGAGGGAGGAAGGAAGGAAACCAGTCAACTTCCTTTCATCCTGGAAAAGTTTCTAAGTTCTTTTATTAAACCGTCAATGTTAGGGGAAAAAAGTCCTCTCAAGTTGTTTTGTTTTGTTTAATTATCAGAGTGCCTAAGGTGGGGACCTGCAGCTCTTGCTACAGCATTTACATTAACAGTGATTATTTCCCTGTCTTTTTGTGGAGTTTTCATGGACATCCTCATGTGTCATTAAGATTAAAAAACTGACCATTCTCTCCCTTCAAAGCTCATGAAGAGCTGGAGTGGTAGCTGATTTGGAACAATCATTAGTTAGTGTCAAATCTCTGCCAAAACATCTGTTTAAGATTCCCATGATCAAACATGTTAAAGCTAGGAGTCTACTTGGTCCCATCAAACCTTGGCTCAGCTTCAGGCATCAGTGGAAGCTTCCCAACTTGCCTCTTTATGCTGTTATAAATGTAGATTTTTTTTTTTTTCTGGGAAAGTATCATCTTAAGATGTAGCCCCAACAGAAAAAGGATATTATCAGACCTCATATAGAAAATGATCCATGGTCCCATTTGTACCTTCAGCTCCAGGGAACTAAATGACCAGGATACATGGAGACCTCTGTTACTTATTTGATAATTATATGGAATTATAAAGGTATATTTATATTAGTACATAAAATTAATTTTTAATGAATTTAAAAATATTTGTATACCCAAATATGCACTATCCCCTTCATAGTAACCATGAGAGATTTTATGCAAACCTTACTGGACCCCATCTTGGACTCGCCTGCAGATTGTTAGGGGTACTTTCAAATAGCTTCTTAAATGACAAATTGCTATCTTTTAGGATTTATGGAAAGAATCTCACTTGGAGTAAGTACAGCAAACAGGTCATGTGAAAAGTTGGAAATCCCAGGGAGGTCTCCTAAGCAGGGATTGAGTGCAGGTGGTGTGTGAAATTGCACTGCTAGCAGAATCCCAGTGAGCAGTACCCTGGAGGATCTGTCAGTCCTTCCTTCCTTTCTACTCTTTCTCTAGTTTTTTTCCTAGCAGTTTTTCTAGTCATTTCTATACGACTTCTTGAAGTTTTATAAACTTCTTGAAGTTTGTCTCAAAATGCAGCAGTTTATTTTGAGTATAAAAATTGCAGACTGCTAATGAATTTATATTCTGTGTCTCAACTGGCTAACGCGTGTTTCTTTGATGTACAGAATGGAAGAGTCTGTTGTTCTGTGGATTTGGAGTGTCTTCAAAATAACTGAAGTATTTAAAATGGACTCATCGCAGAAGAATGGACAAAATGACCATCCAACGTGATTAAGAATAGGAATTGGTGGTTTGGGTTTTTTGTTTGTTTTGTTTTTTTTAACCACAGACAATTGCCAAAGTTTCCATCTGAGGAAGGTGTTTGGAGGTTGCCTTTTGGAACTACCACTTTGCTCATTCTTGCTAACCTAGTCTAGGTGACCTACAGTGCAGTCCATTTAAGTCAATGGTTGTTAAAAGAAGTTTCCCGTGTTGTAAATCATGTTTCCCTTATCAGATCATTTGCAAACACATTTAAATGATCTCATGGTAAATGTTGATGTATTTTTTGGCTTATTTTGTGTACGAACATAATAGAGACTCAGCTCCTTTTATTTATTTTGTTGATTTATGGATCAAATTCTAAAATAAAGTTGCCTGTTGTGATTTTTGTCCCATCTACTATATACTTAGTGCTGAGATCCTTGTAAAATGTTTTGATGAAAATATATATGTAGGGTCCAATTGCATTATACATACATTTCAAAGTGTTGAACCTTCTTAAATGCCTACTCATTCAGCTTACACAGGCTGAAGCCAAGTATGACAAAGAAGGGAAGGACCAAAAACAAAGAATTATTTTAAAGAGAACTCTTGTCTCTTTTGCAAAAAAAAAAAAAAATTAACTCACAATTTAGAAGCAGCAATGCTTAAAGCCTTTCTTGGCTTTGAAAGCAAAATTACCTTTGTGTCAGATTTATGTAGTACTTGATAATTTATAAAGCATCACAGTTAGTTATCAATAAAGTTATAATCATAGTACATGTCAGAAGTATTGTCCCTATATTACAGAAGTGTGAATTAAGGAGTTCCAGTCAACTAATTTGTTTAGAACTAGTTGATTTACAGTGTGTTGGGATTGGTAATCAAGTCTCCTAATTCCTGTTCAGTGCTTTTTTCTACTAAACTACATTGCCTCTCATATACGTGAGGGAGACACCTTTAAGAAAATCTATTTGTATACTCAGAAGTTATTTTAGAACAGTGAATGTTTCCACTTGAGCCAATGCCATATTTTTAAGAATTTTCAGTTATTAAGTTTTACAAAATGAATAAAATGCGCAAATAACATTTTATCTGAGCTGAGAATTCAAGCTTGGGTTGTAGTTTCAGGGAAATCACATCTCAGTGGTTTGTGATACCTACAGCTCTTGAATTCATCATTACTCTGAATTAAGTTGGTTTGTGGATTCCCATTCACTCATCAACTTAAAAAAAGACCTAACTTGTTAAGTCAGTCATGCTAAAAAAATTTAAATACAAATATTCGCCAAATTATTAATTTAAAATTACACACTTAGACAATTATTATTCATTGGTATTTGTCCAGTGGAAATGATACCCAATATTTTTTGTGAAGATGAAGTTCACTACATAAAATCAATTTTATGTATTGAATTATGATAACAGCAATTTAAATACTACATTTGACAAAGACTGATATAATATGGTAAATTAGAACACATCTGTTTTATTTTAATTCCCTAAATGAAACCTTGAAGAGAATTTTAATATCACTTCTTGAAAATATTTAGAACAATTTAAAAAATCCTTTCAATTTTTGCTGAAAAAAACAAAGACATTTACAATAATTATTTGTAACTGAATATGTCAGGGATTGGAGAACTATGATCTCATGTTAAATCTTATTATTAATAGCATAAAAGCATTGTGATTCAGTGGAATATGAGGAAAGATGAAAGTTCCACACATTAACTAGATGCATCTAATGAACACAATTTTGCCTCATTTGTTACATCCAGGTCGCATACAAATATATATGTGTGCATATATGTTACATATAATATTGTATATTTGTTATATATGCTATATATGAATATATATTCATGCGTCCTACATTTATATTTAAATCTACTCATATGTAACATACATACATACATATATATATATATACACACACACACACATAAACACACATATATGTACGCACATTCCCAGAACTTCCCCTACTCTGAACTTTATAGATCTGTGCTTACGTACTGGTATGAACTTTCAGAATACATTTGCTTTGAATTAGGGTTACAAACATATGGCTACAGGCTACAGGTTAGATTATATACTAATTGGGTACAGTCTTCATCTATCAGTATTTAGCATAGTGCCTTCCATACAGTGGGTTTTCAATTAAGTCTTTCAAATATTGAATTCATAATTTTTCATAGTATCAAAAAGCTATCAGGAGATATTGGAAACCCACTCTAGTGATTTTCAAATATTCTTAAGCATGAGACTCATTTTAAAAATCAAAATGTATTCAGTCCTTCAATGTGGAAATTGACTAAAAGCAGAGTTTTTCTGATTGGTGTGGGTGTTGGAACTGGAACACCTTCACACACTGCACCACAGCTCACAACTTTCAACAGCGCACAGCGGGAAAGCTATTGACCTAATTCTTCACCTTCACTCCTACAAAAAAGGAAACTAGCACTCCAAGTGGTTAAGTGACTTGTGCAGAGTTAACAACTAATTAGTCATAGACCTATAACTACCACCCAACCCACACTTTTTTCCCTGTGCCATTCTGCTAAGGATTCCAAATGTGTTTCCACATTTCAATTCCAAGTGAGCTTTCTAAAATCCTTTTTAATGGATGACATTAAAAGACAATCGTGGATGAGGTGTAGTATTTGTTACTGTCTTTTTTCTATGTCCCTTCTGATTGTGACTTTGCTTTGTTAAAATTCTGGTAATGGGTTATGTGAAGCATTTGTATTTAAAGACCGTATAGCATATCTAAACCCATAATAGCAATGAGCCATTTACCAAATCACCCAACCTTATGCTTTATAGGAAAATAACTGAGGGAAAATAAAAACATTTTCCAAAAGCAACTACTTCTTTTCTTAGGATTAGAACACACACACACACACACACACACACACACACACTCCTCAGAATACAATAAAATCTGGCATTAAGAGGCAATATGTATTGCCTGTTTTATGATTTTATTATTCATTCACCCTTTACTATTTTATTAATTCAGTGGTAGTGTGGTAGGCTCTGCAAATTCAGAGATGAATAAGACAAAATTACTCTTTATGGCTTTTGCAGCCTCATATGTAAAAGACTGACAATAAGCTAGAAAATAATCAAGTGAGAAACACAACTACTGGCTATATTAATACTAGGAAAAAATTGTGAAGTGATAAATTAGGGAGGAACTGGATAATCTCACTATATATAGGGTGAAGTGATGAAGGAAAAGCTCTCTAAGGGGGTAATAGGCAAGCTGAGACCTGGAGAATGAGAAAGAGCCATACGTGCAAAGTGCTGTGGAAATACTTCTCCAGACAAAAGAAATAAGTGCAAAGGACTGCAAGGTGGAAAGTAGTGCGGTGTGTTAAAGGTCATGAGTGGATCCAGAAGCCAGTAAGTGAAGGGACAGATGATACAAGGCTGAAGAGGAAGGCTGGAGTAGATGTTGCAGCCCACAGTCCTGAGATGGCCAGTCCCATGTTCATTCTGAGATCAATGGGAACCTATTAAACAATTACACATTTATTTACCCACCTTTCAGGGACTTACATGTCTATACAATCTATTTTTTAGCTTTGAATTAATTCATATTTAATTACTATTCAGTAAACATTACGGAATTCCTATTACGTACCTAGGAAGAATATAAGAATAAAAACATATCATCTTTTCCTTTAGAAATTTAACATGTAGATTGAGTTATCATAAAGCAATAAAAATTGACATAACATGCCCATAAATAAATTCGAAAAATACCTACCAAAAAGAGAGCCTTTACACTTATTTGCTGCCTCTTCAGTACCCTCATTTGATTTCTTAGTTCTTGCCCTTTGTGATCATAATCAGTTGTCTAGTTCATTACTGTGATGTCATTTTATACTATAGTTTCAAATTGGGATAATGAAACAGAGAGGAAGAAGAGAATCTGTTTGATTGATCTAGAAACAGTAACAACTACCCCCACTACTGCAACAGCACTAGAATATAGTAGTCAACTCTCCAAGTTGGGGTCCACCATATAGTGCAAAGCTTTTGGGTAGAAATGATTTAGGTTACCAGAAAAAGAAAAGATATTTATATAATTTCCAGCAACTTTTCAACACATGGAGTTATTAAATTTTTAAAAAATAAAAGGTTTATTTTTTGAGGCAGCAAATCAATATTTTAGGAACTGAGAAGCCAAATATCAGAAACATTTCAACACATGGAAATGAACATTTATCTAGATTAAATGGCAGTTGACATGCCAATCTCATATGATAAAAAATGTACAACGTTAAGAGGGACATTTATGTACTTTTATACTATTTTAGCACTGTTGTTTTAATAATGTAATGAGCAAAATGAATTTAAGTGTAGGAAATGGTAATGTTTCTTTTAAATGCAAAATCAAATCACCTTCAATAATATTGGAAACAGAGCTGATTCCTTGTGAACAAGGCATTCCTAGGGAATTTTTTTTAACCTAATTTCATATATAACATTTGAAAATGACTTATTTAATAAATAGGCAACTAAACTAGAAATCAGAGTCACAGAGGCTTTGAACAGATTTTAACATATCAAATTATAAGGGACAATGCGATTTAAAGAAGTCCCTAATGGAGGGAGTGATGAAAACTGCAACATCAATAAGAGTGCATACCTCAAAGGTCTCCATTGATTGATTGTTAGCTGATTATTGCCAGTTGAGAATGTAGGCTCAGTCTTTCCAATTTTTCAAACAAAGCCATAAATTTGAATTTTAATGTGTGATATGAGTTTTACATTTTTCATCCAGGTTTGAAAGAGTAAATTCATACCATACAAAACACGTCTATGGACTCATATGACCCATGGGATCAATTTGTCACAGACCTGGTTTCGAGCCACTGGAAAGTCTAGAAGATAGGTAATACTCCAAATGTTATAGGGCAATAAATCAATTGCTCTGCTCCTTATCCTAACTGCACTCTTCCCCCATTTTTCATTCACTGTAATTACATGGCACTTATTGGTACCTAACGCCAGAATTTATTTAGTGTTTTGTGTTTTCAGCAAAGTATGAATGTGGGTATTTCTAGTAGTTAGTTCATTTCTACCAGAAGGAAAACACTTGCTTCTTAAGTGAGTGGAACATCAGCGTCCTACCTTACTGTTAGAAGGCATCATCAGCCACCATAAATATTTCCATTTCTGAAACAAATGATGTGTTTGTAGTATGTGCTCATTCAAAAGGTTTAAGATTGAAATGTCTTATTTATCAGAACTGTGCATTGTCCAGACAACAACTATGGATTAATTCTCATAGGTGTACTGATGATGATTAAATTGTATGGAAGTTTGTTGAAAGAGCAAGACAGACAGACCCAAGATCTTCCCTGTTCCAGCCTCACTCTGATTCACAACCAGACAAGCAAAGCAGA